ACAGAGCCTCTACTTCCTGTTCAGTCCTTCACAGAACCTCTTGGAGGATGCTGCAGCTGGTTATTTATCGTATCTCTCAGCAGCCACAGAGGGTTTAAATGAGTTCTGCTTCATCCAGAAGCGTTACAGTTTGAATGAGGCATTAAATTAAAATCCTGAAGCGTTCCTCGACCTCTTTTTCACCACAAACCCACAGCCTCTATAATAACTGCAGCTGGTTTCTCTCAGACATTATTTCTGCCCTTMTAACCAATGGGCTGTAATTTTTAATGATGAGAATACTTTATTTTGAAAGAGGTAGTTTTAAATGAACTCTGCTSGTCTACACGGACCAGCTTGTTGCTGTAGCAGCTGCTGCTGCAGAGACTCAGCTGTGTGTTACATCACACCCTCCTGCTTCACGCCTGTAGAAGTTATCGTGTTGCATTCAGGCTCCATCATCASTGTTACTGCGAGCTCCACCTGACCGACATGTGAGGTCAGGTCAGTTTAATGGACTCTGAGGGCCCGGGGGGCCTCACTGACACAGATACAGGTCCACTGTGGACCGGTCTGAGCTGGAACAACAAACTGAAACAAACCACAGCTGATTTAAACGACAGAAGTGGTGCAGGAAGAGGAGGTTAATCCTGGATGTGATGACTTTCAGAGAGTGTCGTTAGGATTCGTCCTCTGCTTCCTGAGATATTTCGCTAACAGAACACGCTGCTGCACAGACAGGAGAGTCTGAGGCTCACTTTTCTTCGATCACACGTTTGGAGCTGGACAGGACTTTAATAACAGATCGACTCAGGCTGCAGGTGAGACCTGAGCGAGTGGTTTCACCTGCAGCCTGACCACCTGTCTGAGAACCTCCCAGGTGCTCATTAGCAGCTGAGCTGAAGCTCAACATGCGCTCAGACAACCGGTGATCAGCAGACTGACTCATGGTGGAAAAGTGCTGAACGTTCAGATCTCCAGATGACAGAACTTCTAACTGTTCAGGAAAATAAATCCAACAAACGGATTCTCCTCTCCTCGTGAGTCACGTGTTCCTTCAGCTCATATTTACGTCTGAAAGACAAAAACAAACTGCAGCTGCAACTCCTCCTGAATAAAGTCACACTTTTATCTGACTAAGATGAGTTTTAACTTTAAACCTGACTTTTTATCTGAATTTCATTACGTACAGACTTTAAAGGGATCCATGATTAGTTGTAACTTTAGACTTTATTTGATAAACATATTTTAACTGTAAAATAAAGACTGTAAAAATTTGTAAATTTTAAAAAATATATATTTTAACACGGACAGAGCCATTTGATTTACACGCAAAGCATTCTGGGTAAATGATGACGTGGATAGGTCCTTGGTGTGAGTGAGCTATATCCACCCTGAAGGTTAATCTTGGACAATATCTGA